AATTGTACTAATTCGAGTTCAATTGTACTAATTTGACTTCAATTGTACTGATTTGATTTCGATTTCACTATAATTGACTTTAATTGTACTAATTCGAGTTCAATTGTACTAATTTGATTTCGATTTCACTATAATTGACTTTAATTGTACTAATTCGAGTTCAATTGTACTAATTTGATTTCGATTTCACTATAATTGACTTTAATTGTACTAATTCGAGTTCAATTGTACTAATTTGACTTCAATTGTACTAATTTGATTTCGATTTCACTAATTTGATTTCAATTTCACTATAATTGACTTTAATTGTACTAATTCGAGTTCAATTGTACTAATTTGACTTCAATTGTACTAATTTGATTTCGATTTCACTATAATTGACTTTAATTGTACTAATTCGAGTTCAATTGTACTAATTTGATTTCGATTTCACTATAATTGACTTTAATTGACTTCAATTGTACTAACATGCTATATACTATATACTATATACTACATACTATATATTATCTACTATATACTATATACTATATACTATATATTATATGTTATAATATATAGATTATATACTACATACTATATATTATATACTATATACTATATACTATATATTATATGTTATAATATATAGTATATAACATATAATACTATATAGTATATGTTATATTTTATACTATAAATAAATAATATGTTCTATAAAAAAATATTGATGTTAAAGGCTAAGTATAAAACTTGTGCAAAAATATCAGCGATAGCCTAGCGCGGCCTAATGGTAACGAGGAGCCACCAGAGATAACGGACTCACCCGGACTCGGGTTCGAGTCCCGAATCTGGGAACTTTGTTGCCATTTTTGCTTATTTATAAAACAGATTTTTAGAATCCGTTTTTTAAATAATTTGTGCAGGAAAACGGATTCATGGAATCCGTTTTACAATAAAATATAAATGACCTCGAGCCTTCTTCTCCCCTTACGCGAACAGAAATTTCACAGAGCAGATAGCGAGAGAGATCGAGAGATTTGAGCTGCGAAGAAAAAAAAAATTTCGGCCGTCGTCCGCTGCCCCCGCCGCTTTGCCTCCCCACTGCCACCGCGCGTCCTTCCCGTCTATAAGGTACATTTATCTTCATAATGCTTTGATTTTTGTAATTTTTCAATAATTTCAAAATAGGGCAAAAATTAGGGTTTTTAATAATTCTTCGAGATATGGATTGATATATGTTTCTGGGTTGTTAGATTATGTTTGTTCGAGCAAATTGATGGGTTATTTGGATTATGTTAATGTTGGGGTTTTGTAGTTTGTTTGAAAATTTATGATTTGAAGGTGTTCGATAAATTGACTCAAAGGGATTGTTGTACATATTGTTAACATATTGTGAATTTGTGATGATTGTGATGAGGTGAATTTATTTGTGAATTTATATAATATGTTGCAATGTTGGAGTCGAACGATTATTTTGTCACAAGTTGAAATGTTGGAGTCGAACTGTCAATTAGAGATATTTTCAATTTATTGTGTATATGATTTTTGAATTTGTGAATTTATTGTTTACTTAATTTATTTGTGTTTTTGTGATTTTTTTTTTTTGAATATGATTGTATTATTGATTGTAGTATATAATGATTTAATTTATGTAGTATATAATTATTGTTTTTTTTTTTTTTTGCAGAAAATGGCATCTTCGTCGTCTTCGCAACCGCAGCGCTACAATATACATCCCGGTCCGAGGGATCCGTCCGCTCTATATCTTCAGTACTGCCACCGGTCGAGTGATTTGTTCGAAGATATAGGCGGATGTCGTGATGGCGTCATTAAACTCGCCGTTTCGACACTCAGTTCTGGAAGGCGTTGGATCACCAGCATCCTAGAGTTTGGGATGCCATCGAGAAGACGGGGTTTGGCCCGCTGTTTCGAATGGGCAGAGTCATGACCGACAACAGCCTCGTCATGTGTCTAGTGGAAAGGTGGCGACCGGAGACGCATACCTTCCAATTTGACTTCGGGGAGGCCATCATCACGCTGCAGGACGTACAAGTCCTTTTTGGTCTCCCGATCGATGGAGAACCTTGTTGGGGAGCGACTGAAGATAAAACGCCCCTTGAATGGCAAGAAATTTGTAATGATGAGCTAGGGTTCGAGCCCTATGTTCAGGTAAATTTTTTATTATATTTTTTTTTAATTTATTAATGTTTACTCCATTCACAAATTTTTAATATATATAAACCACTCACAGAATGCCGAGGAACCGGTTCAAGACCCCAGGACTTGGGCCATTACAGGCCAGTATTTGAAGGCCTATGCGTTAGAAGAGGAGTGCAACCGGCGACTAACCGATGGAGAGCATTGCTTGACCTACGAGTCGAGGGCGAAGGCCTTTATACTCTGGTGCATCGGTTCCTTCTTCTTCCCCGATCAGAGGGGCAATGGAGTGAACCTCTACTGGTTGCAGCTTTTGCACGACATCAATCTGATCAAGACGTACAGTTGGGGTTCGGCGGTCCTGGCCGGAGTGTATAGAGCGCTCTGCACGAGCGCCAAGTCCGGAGAAAACTGGATTAAGAACTGTGTCCAACTGATTCAGGTATATATATTTCCTTGTTATTTCAAAATTCATTTTTTTTTTCTAATTTAGACTAATATCTAATAACAAATGAATATGTCGATATGTGTAGGTTTGGGCATATGAACGTATCCCTCGTATTCGCCCAAGAATGAGGGATACGAACTTTGAGAGAGTCCCTGGTTGTCCCCTAGGTAGAAGGTAATAAAATTTATTTATATTTAATATTTACTTTATTTCCACTATTAAATTTTGTGATTACAATTTTTTTTTTACTGTGATTTTTAAGGTGGGTAGGAAAGAGGAGCACAACACACGTGGGCAAGGGAACAGCCACCACCCGGGATCAATTGACAGGGCTCACTGAGACGGATGTAGGATTATTATTATTATTTTTATTTGTTGTTTGTTTTAATTATTTTATAACTTAATTCCTAAGTAATTTTTTTTTTTGTTTTATTTTTCAGTTCGAATGGCTACCCTATCAGTGGCACCTGCAAAGGAATGCTCTCTCGGCCCAGTGTACAGAAGGTTCACACCTCTGGATGTATAGGGGGTGGATCTTCAACTGGAACGTCCGTGAAGTTTATATGCCTGATAGGGTCCTTCGTCAGTTCGGGTGTCGGCAGTCCATCCCCGAACCTCCTATCATTCCGACTGAGACCAAATATCAGAGACACCATCGAGGCCAGAAAATGACCGGGAGGGCAGTTTTTGACTGGGTGGCCTTTCACGGAGAGCTTGAGAATGCTTGGGTCGAACATAGAGACGAAAATGTTATCCCAACATTCCCTGTGGAGTCATTCATCGACCCTGAGGCGGGTTACCTTGATTGGTTTCACAGTATCACTGTGAGACTACTCGGTGACCCTGTCAAGTACGCGGTGGCCCAACCGGACAGAGGCTTTCGCCCACTTGCCGAGCAGGGGAAGTGCGACGTAAGTAATATATATTTCTGTTTTTTATTCTATTATTATTATTATTATTATTATTATTATTATTATTATTATTATTATTATTTGTTTGTGTTTCATTCTAATTGACTTTGAATTTAATTTTTAGGCTACCGCCATGGAGGGAGCTTATCACACGTTAACGAATGTTGACCACCTCTTTCATACACTCCCTCCAGAGGTGCAGGCCGCAGTCTTACAGGCCAAGAGCCTTCTCTACAATTCTATGACTGTCGGAGGCGGAGATGTCGCACAAGGGCCGTCGTCGAGCCAAGTTCTCTCGTAGGAGAGCTACGTCCGATCCCAGAGGACGCAGTTACACCGGGCGAGGCATCGACCTGCTCCTAACATTGGTGGAGGTAGAAGACGACGCGACCGCCAACCCGCTGCCGACCTCGTGCCTCAGGAAGAAGAAGAAGAAGAAGAAGCTGAAAATTTTTAACTTAACACAAAAATATAATTTTATTTATTTTTTGTGATTTTTGTTAAATCGAATTTCTGATTTCTTAAAACAATGAATTACTCAGCTGAAGAAGAAGAAGAAGAAGAAGAAGAAGAAGAAGAAGAAGAAGAAGAAGAAGAAGAAGAACCTACGACGCCTACAACATCATCTTCTTCACGACCACCACGTCGTCGGGTTAGCTCCCGACCGCGGAACCCTACGAATCGATACACTCCTAGTTAGTTGTGTTGTATTCCGGGAATTTTGTGGACATATATATTTATTTTTTTCTTTCTTTGTGGATTATTAGTAATGATATGTGGAAATATTTGGATTTTTATATTTGGACAATGAATTATTGTGCTTCATTTTTCTTTCTTTCACGAATGGATTGATATGAGCTTGTGTAATTAATATTTGGTTGTGGAATCGATCTCGATTAACATGTGTGTTTTTGTAATTTTTCTGTAATTTTTGCTGTTTCTGCACAGTAAAACGTATTTTCAAAATACGTTTTTTTTTTTCTAGAAAAACGTATTTTAAGAATACGTTTTACTGTGCAAATTAGGGCAAATTCAATTTGGGACTAAAATTTGGGCGAAATAAATTTGGGGCTAAAATTAGGGTTAAAAAACGTATTTCCCAAATACGTTTTATATTTTTAATTATTATTTTCTGGAAAAATTGGTTTTCAAAATTGTAAATATTAATTTTATTTATAAAACATATTATTAGAATACGTTTTATAAACGTATTCAAATAATACGTTTTGTATTTTTTTAATTTACAACGTATTTAAATAACACGTTTTACCATATTTTAATTAACTTAATTACGTTTATTGCGTTAATTAATTATTTTTTTTATGGAAACGAATTCACAAAATACGTTTTACTATTTAAAACGTATTCCTATAATTCGTTTAATTCTGAAAAACGGATTTATGAAATACGGTTTTTTGGTTTTTTTTTCACTCATTTTTGTTTTGTCCACTTTTTTTTATTATTTTTAAATAAATAATAATTTTGGTGAAAACACCCATTGATTGTCCCTCCCTCGACCAATGCTCAAAATCAAAGGCAAAAAACCCCACTACGCTTCGGCTTTCGCCTATCCAAGGCCATATTTATCACCCCCCCAAACTCAGGGAAAAAAAGAAGTCTTGATCAAATGGGGAGCTTAGGAAGAGCTGTGTACACCTTGGGAAACTTGATTCGAGCGACAGGTCAAGCCATGGATCGACTGGGTTTCCAGCTCCAAGGGAGTTACTATATCCCTGAACAAAGTATGTTCTAATCGATTTTCATTTTTTTAAAAAAAGAAAAATTGTATATTTACCGAACCCAAGAACGACCTGCATTTTAAAGTTCATTTTGTGTATGATCCGTAGGTCATTTTGGTCTAGTAATGTAGAAGCAGGCCAGTACGTGAGATGCGAAATGTAATTTAGGATAGATATTATGATTTCCCTTGTTGTGGAGCTGTTCAGCAGGCTAATTTCTTTAAATTGTTCTTTTTTCTTGGTCATTTTTGTGTGTGTGCGTGGGGGTGGTGGGGGTGGAGGAATGTGTAGTGAGACCAAAATGATATCTTTAGAGGAAAGGGGAAATTGTTTGTTGATCTTTTTTCTTAATCGTTTGGCGGGCGATGAAATTTGAGCTACAAAGTTCTGTTATTGCTGCTTGCTTGGCGAATTTCAGGATTTTGGCATTTAGATGCATTCTTGTTGTTCCTGACTGATTTATGATATTTATGAAGTGGAGTGAATATGTCTGAAGGGAAAATTTAAGCTTTCAGGATTTTCATGCTTATGGTGTTGAGGGTTTTATGTCTATAGCTTGACAAGAAGGTTTACTAGAAATAAACTACTAACGAATATGAACTTGCACTGAAGCCACAACATAGTTGACAAAATTGAAAGTCTACATGTTGCTTATCAGGATTCATTTAGTACAACAACAACAACAACATAGCCTTTAGTCCCAAGCAACTCGGGGTAGGCTAGAGATGAAACCCAAGAAAACCATCGGTAAGAGAAACACAAAAAGGGGTTGAAACAAAAGGAAGAGATTGGAGCAAAAAGAGTTCATTTAGTATAATGTGCAAATCTGTGTTGTGGTTATTGCCTACTAGGGGAAATGACTATAACACGGGATGATGAATCGTTATTAGTTAAGGATGGTTTGAGGACAAAAAGGAAACAATTGTGATAAGAAGATCAGAAAATTGAATTATAATGGCAATACTATACCATGGCAGACATTCGCTAAGATGGATAACCCTTGAGAATATTAAACTTTCATCTTTTAATTGCATTGACAATTTTAGCTACAGCACCAATTCATTGTAAGCTATTTTTTAAGTTGCTAACCAAATAAGAAAGAAAACCTTTTTGCAGCCGTACTCTCACCAAACACGTTTCCTAATTTATATGATAAAATTCATGAACAAAAAGCCCCTAGATCTTGATAAGTGTTCATGATATAGTAATATTAACGGTTATATTGTACTATATCAAATGTCAACAGTTCATCGGTATTGTCAAGACAGCTCCCAGGGATATTTTATAAGAAAAAATAATAAAAAAATTTCTCTAAAATTTTCAGTTACCGTCATAATAAAGTGAGATCAGTTGCATTGCATAAACATGTTGACTGGTGTCAAAAGTTATGTTTGTCCCACATTGACTTGTTACTGGGTTGTTATTGCATATGAGTGTGGATTGGGGCACCTTTTCCCTTTGAAATATCTTTTGAGGATGTGGGTTCTATCCAGACCCATTTATCATATCAGAAGAGCTCATGTTTGTTTATCTGGAAGCGATGTTGGGTTTCTACCACATTCCCTTTTCCTAAGTAGAATGAAGGAATATAGTATAGGGGAAAGGTCAATACTAAATGATAATTCATTTGTCAAAATAACTAATAAGATCATATGACCTTGTTTGATGTTTGACTGTTATGATTCCTGACTTTGTTCATTGTATCTTGTTTCCAAGGTAGAATTTGATTTTCATTGTAGAGATTAATCATTATGCCACACATTAGTCTATTTTGATAATGAGCTTTCAAAAAATTAATCTGACATCAAATTAACAACATAATTGTGTGCTACTGCACTTTGAAATATCTTGACTATTAAGCCTTTTCATTCTATCCACGACTTACGCTCAATTAGGTCAGATGTTCTGTTTCCCTTTTACATGAATTTTACTGTATTCATTCCGTTCAGTTTCTAGGCATCGGACAATAATGGACATTTTCGAAAAATCTCCTGTGGTTGATAAGGATGCATTTATTGCCCCAAGTGCCTCTGTCATTGGGGATGTTCAGGTCGGCCGAGGATCATCCATATGGTATGGGTCTGTTCTTCGAGGTAAGTGACAGTTAAACAAAATTAAAATGATGCCTCATGAATGTTTACATTGCCATATTTAGAAACTGAGATATTTCTGATGTGAATAATTACTACAAAAGGAGGATTCCATAAGTACTTAAGTAACAATTCTCTTTTGCAGCCTGTGTACACTAGCTCGGTTTTGCCATTAATGAGTTGAAGAGTTGTCTGTATATTAAGAAATGTTTTTAGTTTAAATAACAAATAATATGTTGAACTTAAACAAAAAACATTAAGATATCTTGTTGTTTTCTATGGTAAATTCTTTTCAAATTATGAACAAGAATTATTTGCAATTATCCTGGGACAATTAATTTGGGTTCTCTGGATTAAACTTAAAAAAAAATTGAAAACTAACTTGGATTAAACAGTGTAGTGCAATATATAGGCAACAACGAACATGGTCTAATCTCCAGCTTCCTTTTCATTACTTTTTTAGCTTTTCTGAATCCACGCTTTTCGTGAAGTCATGGTAAGTTTAGCATGTGGGATAGCACATTTTATAGGCCAGCACACCCTGTATAATCAGGGAAGAAGTGTGGATCTTACTTGATTTCTGAATCAATTGAAATTTCTCTCAAACATCTAAATATGGATACGAAGAAAGAAATAGTTGGTGCTTACATCATCCTTAAATATGAATTAGCAGAAACAACAAGGAATAAAACCATAGGACATTCCAGCTTAATCATAGTGGATAAGCTACTGTCAAGAATTTTTTACATTCAGCAGAACTGATTAAGGTTTGGGCAAGCCTTGAAAGAGTGATCTTACCTTAAGAATCCTTCACCATACAATTGCATACGATGACGCTTTCTTCCTTCTTCTTTGTTCTAAATGCAAAACTTCTACTGATCACCTATAATATGTAACTTTATTATTGAATTTCCCTTAAATCTCAGTACCAGTTTTCAAGGGTCAACTATATTCAGCTGAGACGAGTTTCTCTATTATGTGTTCTAATTATTCAACACGCATTTGATCTCTAATTCTCTATTTGACAAAATTTATCATTGCACGGTTTTCTTTGGAACAGGCGATGTGAACAGCATAAGTGTCGGGTCTGGGACTAATATACAGGACAATTCTCTGGTCCACGTGGCTAAATCTAATATAAGCGGAAAAGTTTTGCCAACTATCATTGGAGATAACGTGACAATTGGTTTGTTGGTCTTACTTGACTTCCTTTCGTACTGCATAATAACTTAATTGCCGTATCTGGACCTCATCCTTAACGAACTTATATTAATTTGATTGAACAGGTCATGGTGCAGTTATACATGGCTGCACAATAGAGGATGAGGCTTTTGTTGGGATGGGAGCTACTCTTCTTGATGGTGTTTTTGTGGAAAAACATGCCATGGTTGCTGCAGGTTCTCTTGTGAGACAGAATACAAGGATCCCTGTCGGTGAGGTATGTATGCCTCTCTCTCACTCTCAGTTATCATATGCCAAAATTTTAAATTTTTAATATCATCCTAGAAAGACAAATTTATTTTTATTTGTCATCTTAGATTCATCTCTTTTTACTCTCTCTCTCTCTCTGCATGAACACCCATGCAGTTTTTTGGCTCTGTTTCTCTGTATTCACACACGTGAAGTGAAGTTTAAATCAGTTCTTGGTAGAACTGCTGCGTGTAATATGGTTTTGGAGTTAAAATTAAGATTAACTTGTCAAATTTCCAAATTTTATTAATTTCTTTGGGTTCCTTGTAGTAGTACTCAAATGGCTGTGGATTAATTTTTAGAAGTAGAACAAATGCATGAAGAAACAATACTGATTTCCGGAAAATACATGCTTTGTACAATATTATTATATAGCCATCCCTTTAGTTAACTGTATCTGGCCTTCACATTATGGGTTGATAAATTGCGATAACGTGTAGGGTATTGCAGTTTGAGGTTTTCAGCCTTCAGGTTAAATCTAATGGCTTCTGACTGATCGTTTCAACTAATTCTGAAGAGAAATTAGAAATTGGGTCTGGTAACTGAAATGACAAACTAAGTCCTACGATAATTCAAATTTTTTTTTTTTTTTTGAGTTAGTTCTGTATTAACTAGACTTGATCAAGTCCCCAATCGACTCATAGTACGCGTATAACTTTCAACCTTTGGGATTTAGTTTTTTCCACAGAGCTTTACCAAGTCGTGAGGGGAAAATGCTTGGAAACTCGCTACTTATTATGCTGCCATCCATCTGTAGGCAATATTTTCTCCCCTCTCCAAATTATCGCTCGTTATGGTGTTTATAGCCACTTATTTTTTTGCCAAGTTATGTTTTGGTAGGAATTAAAAATTTCCGGTTTGAAATTGAGATGTGTTATTTCGACAGGTGTGGGCGGGTAACCCGGCCAAATTTCTCAGGAAGCTCACAGATGAGGAGATTGCATTCATCTCACAAGCAGCTACTAATTACATCAACCTTGCCAAAGTGCATGCAACTGAGAACTCCAAATCGTTCGACGAGATAGAGCTGGAAAAGATGCTCCGCAAGAAATTCGCCAAGCGTGATGAAGAGTACGACTCCATGATCGGCGTAGTTCGTGAAATCCCACCCGAACTCATCCTCCCTGACAACATACTGCCTGAGAAATCCCAAAAGGCCCTTCAATGAGTGGACGTGCTCTTTTCGTAGTTGTAATAAACGTGTTTGTGTTTTTTTTTTTTGTTTTTTCTCCTTTTTCCTTTTTCTTTACTAACGAATAAAATTTGATGACTCGGCTTGCTCTGAGGGTGGATTTCATTCGGCTTGAGAATGTTTCGAGGTCTGGCTCAGTTTTAAATGGGAACCAACCAACCGTGCTGTTGTTACTTGTTCTGCAGTATGCATGAAGATGTACTGCTTTTGTTCTTGTATTTGAAGCCCCACCTAGTGAAGTGTT